ATTGAGTTAAGCAAATAAGTTTTCCCTAGCATAAGCTCCTCCACGGTGACGCAACAGTTTGCCGAACCACTCCATAGTTAAGCCTAAAATTTCGTATTCCTACGAAACGGTAACAGTAACTTTACATATTCAAATAAATCCTCTTATCTGAGGATTCTAAGCTTGATGTTTATGTTTATAGTTATGCTGGTACATTCATTCCTTTAGCAACTTGCTAAATTTCTCCTTGAAATTAAGGGGTGCGAAATGAACCGCTGCGATTACCATAATGCAACTTGAACGACCAAGATTAGAAAATGTGCTCTCCAATAAACCCAAGACAGAAATCTGCTCTTTTATTTACAATTTCCACGGACCAATGGAATTACTTTATTTGACCACGTAGATCACTTAACGGCAAATAATTGAATGCTACATGTAACAATCTATTACCAGAGAGGTCTAAGAAACTACTTTTAGTTGTAAGTTGTGTACGTAATTAAAATTATAATGAAATGCCACGGTGTCGATTTTAGTATTCACTAATAGTTAATTAAAAATAAATGTAAGTTTCCATTGTAAAGTTTGTAAGATCTTTTCTCTGAAATGAACTATAATCAATATCTCAAAATATCAAAGCACTTTAGAACTATTTGCGGCCAAAATCCGCAGTAATGTAGCATTAGAGCGTACTAAAGAAACCGTTACGAGTTAATGAAAGTCGACTGCCAAAAAATCGGTTTCGCAAGCTGATTGCGTATTGTGCAAATTACACGATCCTTATGTAAACAGGAATCTACTAATCAATGTGGAATTTCGCACCTTTACTCACAACTTACACAAAGTAAGTGTGAAAAGCGTCACGTATTCTAATTTGCGGAATAATTAGCGCCATGTATATTTATTTAGTCTAAAAGGCATTTAGTGGCAAATTACTAAGCTCAAAGTACAGCGCATAAAATAACCGCGAATAGACATTCCGATAAAATATCATCAGGAGGGTTCCATAAATCCTTCGTTTTTGCTATCTATATTTTCCGCCCTCGCGTGATGGTATTTGATTTGATCTCAGATGACGATTGAATTCTGATGCCGTTTACTGTATATCGCTAATGCATAAAATTTTGTTGCTTACGTATCGAGGAGCGATTTACTTCAGACACGCGGAAAATATAAATCTGCGTAAGGGTTGGAAATTTTATTAGGCATATTATTTATCATCTTAAGCTTTTTTCGATGTGTTTAATGATTTTTAGTATTCGCAGTAAAGCAGTCTTTCTTTGTTAAGGAAATGTGAGTAAGGTTCATGAAATTCCCGTTCAAGTAAGTGCTACATATGGTCCTTCGAGCCGGATGGATTAGACCTTACAACCCTGATGCATTAGTCGAGAAGAATTGGTGCCGTATTACCACGGGGTCCGGTCCAAGTAAGTGCCACAGGGTGTCTCCGTGATTGTGACTGCTATCAAAAAAATAATCCTCTGCTCTTTTTGGGTCAAACTTAAAATTGTAAAATTAAAATTTGAAAATAAAGACATACGAAGAAAAATCAAAAAAATGTCACTGTCAATTTCAGAATACTTACTTAAAAGAGATACAGAAAAACGTTTATTACAAAAGTGTATTTATAATATTGTTGAATAATCAGCCGTTTTCCAAATAAGTAAGTATACGAGGTCAGGTAAAAAAATTATCGGAACTAACCCCACTTTCTAAATTAGAATACCTTGCATGCTTTAATCTAAAACCTATTAAATTCTCTTTTGAAAAATATAACACTGAAAAAGGTTAACAAAATTCAATATTGATTCTAAAAGAATAAGAAAAATTTAAAAAAATTGTTATTGTATTTTTTTGAACTACTTAAACTTTTTTTAAATATTAAAATATTTAAAAAAAGTTTAAGTAGTTCAAAAAATTCAAAAAAGATTTTAAAAAATCTTTTTTTAATTGTATTTTAATAATAATAATAATCCTGGTGTCCCTGGTGTGTTATATATTTTTGAAAAAAAAATCTTTAAAAAAATTAAGTTAGGTCAGATAACTTTTTTACTACACCCCGTATACGATTTTCCTCCGTATTTCTTAAGCGATCGAACATTTTCAAATTTTGATCTTACCATCCTAAGTTTGAGGCAAAAAGAGAACATGACTTCTATAGTACTTTTGTGGTAGCACTAACAATTACAGAAACACACTATAAACGTGTGGGAAATGGGACACCCTGTAAAATCACTTATTGCGCCAAATTTGTGTGTAGATAATCTCGGAAGTATATCCGAATCTACGCAAAAATTGTAGGCAAGCTCTGAACAATCTGGAGAATTTGTAATGAATCAATAAGTTTCATGAAAGAAAGGTAGGGGGCGTAATAAAAAAGCGTAAAGTAGTTTTGAAAGGAAGGTCAAAGCAAATGCGAAAGAGGTACAAGTAACTCGCAAAAAAGAGCGAATGAGATGTGAAAAATCGGTGAAGAAAGCGGGGAATCGGTGTCAGAGTGACGCAAAGGAAGGTGTAAATAGAGGAATGATGAAAAATATTTGAAAGAAATGATACGTAAAAAAAGTGAAGGAGGAAACACGGTGTAACTAAAAAATATCGAGATGATGTTTTCGCGAGCTTATTTAGGCTTCATTTAGCTACTTTTTCATGAAAAAAAATCGAACCAATGCATTTAATTTTTTTGAGAAAATTAACCATTTCTGCCGGAATGTCGAAAAAAGCCCTCAAGCGGCGATATGTGAAACTAACAAAACTTCAAATATTATAATATTTGTAACCGAAGAATAACTCTTTTCAATTAACCCGAGTTTGTTAAAATCGGCTCAGTCGTTTCGAAGATACAGGGTGTTCTTTACGGAAAACTTTGAATACCCCCCACCATTTTTCATTTTTAGAGATACAAGAAAAATTGTCAAACAAAAAAGGTTCAGATTATCGTAGATTTCAGAGACCGGACATTTTTTGTTAGGTTAATATAGCGGAATTCACAGAAACATCACTTTTTTAGCTTCCAGATTGCAGTTACGCCCCCTAGCGGCCATTTCAGACACTTCAAAATATTTTCCAGGTTTTGCTCGTGCGTTTTAGTAATAAATTTTTTACCGCAAGCCTCTACGATGGATAGGTTCTCAGATACAGCATTCTTAGTTGGTCACCCTGTACAATTAATAATGTTGAGTTTCACTGAATCAATTCGTCTTTGTAAAATATATTGTAAAAACTAGCAGTAAGAAAAACTTATGTGCTTCCCCTGGAGAAATTGTATTGGAATATTAAACAAGTATAGACAGCTCTATTTGTTAATGCCAATCTCGTGGATCCGATGAGAAAACTATTCACTTCAACAAATTTTGTTCTCGTAGAAATTATCGTCTGAAAAGTTCTACAATATAAAAGTTCGAAACACACCGTCCGACCGTTGATTATTTTAGAAACGGTTATTTGTCATCCAATTTCAAGTGATTTTATCATGAGATGTCTGCCTGAACTTATATGAAATTCTGATCGAATATATTATAGGGGAAATGCGAAGTATTTTGAACGTATTCACTTCGAAATTGCTTTAATTTACTTGCAAGACGCAGACAACATATGAATTATTCAGTACATTCAAACATTACATAATTCAAAGTAATATTTAGTGATCATCTTTAAAAGTAGATTCCACTATTGTTATTTGCAAGCATTCGTAAGTAGTTAAACAATCTGAGACGCTTAAATAGCATTTTGCTGACGAAAAAACTCAAATAACAAACGGAAAAATTAGCAGGAACGTCTTCGAGAATTTGGCGCGAGTTTTGAATGCGGTTGAGGTGAATACAGCCTCATTATTCTTAAATTTTCCATATTTCGAAAGGCAATTTCGTCGGCAGCAAGTCACAGAGGGGTTCACCCAAAAAGCGATCCAGTTTTCAGTTTTTCTTGGAGGGAGCCATTTTCAAGAGAGGGTCCGTATGTAACTTAACTTAAAGAAAACAGTCATTCTCGCGATATTTGTAGGTAAGTAAACCTCGAAGTAAACTATTGGTCGGTTATCTTTAAGAATTTGCAGCGGATGTTTATTTACCGTAACTTAATATCCTTAAAGGAACTGTTAATTATTATAAATGGATCAATACAGATAAATTGATTATTTTGAGAATCGCCATTGAAATGTAAGGGAAAAAATAGTCATGATTTAATCCCCAACCCTCGTACATTTGTACAGAAGCAAGTTGTGTGAGAAGTTTAACGCGTGTTTGTCCGATTTTGAAAAAAGTTTCGTCGAGTTGAAAAACCAAACAGTTGTAGTACAGCGATGCCTTTAGTTAAGGTCCTCTTCTTATTAAAAGATAAAAGTATCTACCGTCCGACCAGCTACAGGAAAATTGTCATATTATTCATCAAGCCAGTTTTGCTTGTCATCTAATTATGTCATATACAGCAAAAAGAAGTTCAGAAGTTGTGCGTGAGTTAAGCGCGTAATTAAAAATATTTTTTATTTTAATTGTCGACCGCCTGCGTACGAGGTAATATGTCCAAACAGGCTTTTAAGCTTTTATTTCATAAATTCATTTAAAATCTTAGCGAAAACTGCGTTGTGAGACTACGTTCACGTTTTCTTTTAAGACGATACAGGACTATTCATGCGCTTGACGTTGATATGAAATCGAAGACAACAACAAGGGTAAGGGTAAATGATATGCTAATTTAAACGTGCCAGAAAGCCCCAATTTGAAAGATAAGAACGTGAGTAAGTGAGTCAATGCTTCAAGCAGTTGTCGAATACATTATTGGTTACGGAAATAATATTAGGGCACCTAGCAAATAATTATAGGAAATTCCTACTCGCGAAATCGGTAAATTTTTGTTTAAATCAACACCAACGTAATTTTATTCCGAATTACGTGCTTAAATTTGAATAAAGGTGCTCAAAGCCGAAATGAAAAAATAACAGGCAATTTAAAGCCTACAACAGATGTGACCGACAAACGTCACGGGAATACAAAATTTAAAACGAAATAGACTTTCGCACCTACCTCTGCTCATCTTTGGGATTCTGAATAAATCTGCTGCATTCCCTTTTGTAGAACGTCGCTTCGATCCAACTCCGCGCCGGAGGCTGAAATGGAGAATTATTAATTAATTCCATTGTACTAACAATATATAAATAAATTTCAAATGAAATTACGGCCAAATTGGGGTCGGGTTTCTTTACATAATTACGCTGTTGATCAAAACCCACAAAAGTAGAGTAACTACCCTCAATATTAAAATCAATGTCAAAAATTTAGTTTTAGTTGGTTTAGCATGCGTAATTGATACTTGAATTTAAAACGTTGTGTTACGGTCAACTTTTTTCAAACTACACTCACTTTTCTAAGTAACAAACCTGCATCATATGGATGCCACGAAAACCTAGCGATATTTTTCTAAATATTTTCGATACAAAGGTCGTGAGCAGATCAGTATCGCATTCTAATAGGATTAGTTCCGTTATTAATGCACGGTTAATCCTTGCCATTGTTGGTTGACTGAATTCTACAATACAAAAGCTCCCCAAATTATTAAGCATTTCACATTGTATTCAAACAGGGCAGAATCCATTTTCAGAAATTTGCGAAACGCGTTTAAATCATTGAGTTACGAATGAATTACGATGTATATTGGTATTAAGGCACGGGAATTGGGATTTTTTTATACTTAAAGAGGATGCTTACGTGAGAATGTTCCGGAAAGATTCTCCAGAGAGTCCTTAAATCTTTACGAACTTTTAGCGAGTAGGTAAGTATCCATATTTAGTTATCTATTTGAGAAATGTCATTACAAATTTTTTATTAATTCATGACAGATATTGCAGTGGTTCTATATAAACCCCCCTTGAAAAACTGCGCCAGAATTTATAAAAATCTTCCAGACCTTATTTCATACCCCTGAAATCTCTAAAATCTCTGTGAAGAATTTTTTTTCTGAAAAAAATGTCTGAGAAGTCTCTGAAAAAAACTCTCTATCACTGAAAAATACTTGATGTACCGGATGTAGAATCTAAGATCCCCGGATCAAAGTCCAAAGTTTGCTCGCCGTTTAAATTCCAAAGGTGCGTCGTCGTTCAAAGTTCAAAGGTTGCTCGCCGTTTAAAATCAAAAGGTTGGTCGTCGTTCAAAGCCCAAAGTTTCTTCGGGTTTACAATCGGTTAAGGTTGTGCGTGTAAAGATGGCCACCTTTTTCGATGACCCTGTATATTGACGAAATGGTTATGTGCGCTGTCATAATGGTAATTAGCACAGATTAAAAGTAGATAGAGGGGAGCTTTATACTAGATACTCCTTTTCGGCCTTAAAAAATTCCGTGCAAATTTACTGAGCACCCAAGACTACGTGGTTATTCCTTGGTAATTCCGGACTCGAATTAATATTTTAATTTGGAAAACGCCAAACGCGAATTAATTATTTTCATTTTCTCTGAGGAGCACTAGTCTCGCTCCGTGCTTAACCGCAACTCATTCCAATTTCTTCCCAAAACTAATCCCTTCTCTTATTAATTAAAGAAGACCTACAAAATTGCCTCATAAATCCTCGACATCTCCAGAATCCATTACGAAAACAATGGTCTATAGACTTTAAAAGATGAAAAAGTTCAAAATTCCATTCAACTGAATTCTGAAGTCCACTATCAAATCTCCGAATTTTATCACTAGATATAAATTTAGAGCTACCGTTACAGTGTAAAATCGGAAGTTAATTAAAAAAAATTAATTCAATCTCTTGATGAAAGCTACACTTCGAGTGAGATTTAGTTATATCTTCAACGTGAGTATGTGGATAAATGGTGTTAATTACTGGCCAGCAAGTTTGAATCGATTCTGCGAGACAAAAGGAAGGCAATTGGTCTTATTTTGTCATCCAATTGCCACGCACTGCGGGGAAAATAAATTCGCAGTCGTTAAACGTCTGGCCGTGAATAAGGAATGCGGTGATCATTCGAACTTTTGGGGTTCTCCACTATTGATTACTGACTTTCGTTCCTATTTATCAAGGTAACTAAGTTATAGAGTAATATTATGCGCTCATTAAATGGAGCTTTTGAAACGCAACGAAAGTTCTCAATACTTGATTTAAGATCACAAAGCTTCATTTTTTCCAACTTTTTTCCGCAGTCATAGAAATTGGAAAGTATATCCTTTATTCGGCTTTTCAATCCCCTTTAACAAGATGCTAGTTTTTCTCTAACAAGGTATCGTTGTCCTTTCCATTAGACGAAGAACTATTCGTAATTCGATCAAATGAAAGTTTGCTTTCGAAAAGTGAATTCAACATTAAGATCCATATGTTAAGCGAAACAATTTATTCCACACTGGGTAGGAGGGTTGGAAAAAGTTATTTTACGCACCCAAACACTTTTCGCCGTATGTATGCTTGGATATCCCGACGAGGGGCAGGTTATCCGTCCCAAGGGCGAGACCCTGCTAACAAAAACTCTTTGGTTTAGACTGTATGTGCGTTATGAGCTGCGATTCACTCATTTCCACATATTTTGTTGTTAAAGTTGGATTTCACCACTAAGGCCATGTAACTTTCCATACAAACAGGATTTTATTGCACCCAAGATGAATCAAATCACTTGTTTTTAACCTTGACTGCAATCAACTTTGTGTACATGCATTTACGGTGTCTTTTAATTATTGTTTAAATTTGGTAATTTTCCCAATTTGGGGAATAAGCTTATTAAGGTAAATAAGGGCAAAAGTGCCCTAAAGTGATTTAATGCTGAGCTCGCAATTGTAACCCAATACTAATTAAGAAGACGAAATATGATATAAATCCCAGGCATGCATCCCGGCTTGAGATGCTTCTGAAACTAATTAACAGAACAAATACTCGACGCAAAGAAAATCACATTCAAACCGCTAAACTGTTATATTTTCCATGATATTGAATGCCCAAATTGTTCTACTTCTAGAAGTCCCAAAATTGCTAACTTCACAACGAAATATCGAAAAAATTTAAATGCAAAATTTAGAGCTACCGTTACAATGCGTGGCCGATATTCTTCTAAACAAAAAGTTCTGCAGAAATTCGTCACTAAGACTTTCTAAAATAATATCAAAAGCAACATGAACAACATCTTAAAGATCTCCGAAAAACCGAGGGGGTGATTTGTTGTCCTTCATATTTCGAGAAAATAGCTGGGAAAGATGTAGGAAATGGACGAAATTATAGAAAATTTTGGGGAAATATCAGGAAATGTTGAAGAAACAAAAGGAAATTCCAAGGAAATCTAAAAGAAATGTTAAGGAAATGAAAGGTTTCTATAGGGAAGTAACGTTACCCATTTCACGTTAATTCGGCGAAATTAAATGGTAGCAATTTATCCCCTAAAATAAGTCGTGACCAACCCTTCATCAAAAACCTTTGCGTGAGCTCTAAACAATCTCTAAAAGGTAATTGCAGAAAGTTCTTCGTTTCTTTAATAATTGGAGACGACAAAAAACGCAGATGGTTCGCGACGGTTGGAAAACGTGTACATTTTTTTTGTTTTATTCGGGCAGTCCTCCCATTTTGATGAGTTGGTGACGCAGTTCTGTCTTTATTGTTAAAATTTTGCAAGTTGCTAAGAAGTTTAAAGCGGTTTGTCGATTTTATGGAAAAAGTCTGTCATTTTGAAAAAGCAAGCAGTTAATAAGACCTTCTGTTTGTACCGTCTGAACAGCCACCGGCAATTGGTCATTTAATTCATCAAGTCAATGCTGTTTGTCAACCAGTTTTGTGTGATAAAGAAAAGTGAAGCTATCAGCGTTTGTGTTGAGCTAAGTGCGCCTTCTTATCGCAAACTTGTGTACGACCAGATTATTTGGATCATTTAAAAACAAAAACTGCAAGTTATTTTAAGATTTTCACGATCGACCGCCTACGTCGTTTTTTACATATCGACCGCCAGCGTGCGGGGTATTATGTCTAAACAAGCTTTGTAAGCTTATCTTTTCGTTTCGGAATAAAAAAAAATAATTTTGTCATTGCTAATCAATTAATTGTGTGTTTATTCGAACCCACTGTGCGATCCGGATAGATACAAAAACACCCGTCCAGCTAGCTTAATTAAACTCAAGTACTATCAAAACCCTTTTCCCAGGGGACGCCCGGTATCTGAATCTGCTACTACGAAAAATCTCAATATTGATTTGCTTTGATCACGCCCACAATTCTAAAGAATTATTTAACAAATAATTAACATCTGACGTAATCCTGGGTACAAACGGGAAAATTTTACATGAGAACTCTTACATCCTGGGTCATTTTCAGACAAAACAAATTTAGTTGAACAAATCAATTAATCATGAGGAAACAAAAAAAAATGCACTCAGGGTCAGAGTACAAATACCACGCACATGCTTTCAATTGAAACGAGTTAAATTTAAAAGCAAATTCTAGTTACCTCAAAGTTAATAATCCTCAATATCCGGTCAACTGGAATTAACTTTAAATGGCGCACACAGAACAGAAAACCCAATTGAAGATGCTTCTGAAGCTTTTTACTTCTTTCTGGATTTAAACGACACTGACTTTGATTACTTTTATTGGTAGTAGAACACTTCACTGTAACAGGTAACTTGAAGACCGTACAGAAAAGGCTTCACATTCTAACGAAGCACTCAGTTTTCATACCAGAATTAATGAACACACCGTAGATAGATTACTGCTACCAGCTTTATACAACCCCCGGTATCCAGAAACACTTCGTTACGAAAAGTGGGTCCGTTAACTTGGTCCCCCCACTGAGAGATTTCATAGTCGTATTATTTTGAAATGAATGCGTTCGTTATGCGCTCATATGCGCCACCGATAATAACTCTTGCGCCATTATCGTTTTTTAGAAATCCGAAAAAACATTGGGGGGGGGCAAGTGAACGTAGCCCCCCCCAGTACGTATTTTGTCCCTTGTAACTAGGTCACCTGATACATTTGGTTATGCGCTCAATTGCGCCACTTGAATTAAAGCTAGCGCCATTACGGTTAAGCCGTGACAAATTTTCAAAAAGTGGGGGGGGGGGCCAACTTAACGTTTTTAAAAGTTACTTTTTTTTAACATCTTTTCATACGAAATTGTACTCTCAGGTATGCGCTG